AGGGGTTACCTGTTTTAGAGCAGCCAACTGGAACAACAAATAAGCTGAGGTCTTCCACCACAACACTCAAACTCAAAAGGCGATATAGAGCTCCTTGTAGGTAGCGATAGGACAAGGACGAACGTCTCTATGGTTTCAAGAAACTATCTCAAAATACTTATATACAGTGATATGGCTGGAAGCTTGTGGCCATATTCCTCTGTAACCTTTTCTCTTTACTCCCTTTTTATCTATATTTTCTTTCTTTCCCTGTTTCTTTTCCTTTTTTTCTATTTTTCCTCTCCTTTTCAGTGAAAACTAAGGCTGTATTTATGGAAGGCAAAAATGCATATTTTTAAGGGGGGAAGACGGGTGAAGAAGATTCGAATTTTCAATTCGAAATTCAAATATTTCTTTGAAAAGAAAGCATTGAAAGGTCTGTGAACAGTACTACAATCTCCAACGGATGCAAGAAGGGATCCGTCCGATCTTGGAGCAAGGACGACGAAGCTACGAGATTTTGACACCTCACGAATTTCTAACGGCTCTTGTACGAGCGGATAAGGTTGAGGGGAAAGGGACACGCGATTTGCTCGCTGGTTGTTAGGTCCTGTCGCGTAGGGAAGAAGAAGAAGATGGGGTCGGTCGGGTGCTAAAGGGTAAAACTGGAAAAGGGGTTAGATCGATTTTAGGAGAGGAAAAAGGGGAATTGGGTCGGGTAGAAAAGGGTTGGGCCTGGGAGGAGGTGAATAATTGTTGAAAAAGGGTTGAGGGGGGAAGAAATGGGAAGTGGGCCACAAAAGAAATGGGCTGGAATTGGGAATTAAAGGAAATTTGCAAGAATGGCCCAAAATAAATTAAATTGGAAATTTAAGATGGGTTAAATTTAATAAATAGCCAAATTGAGCTAAGAGGATAAATTTGGCTAAATCTTAAATAAAACGAATTTTTATTAATTAATCAACGAGCTTCTTTATTTTAGTAATATAATTATTTTAATTGTAAAATAGTGATTCAAAATATAACCATAATTTAAACTAAATTAGCTAAATAGAATACTTACTAAAATTTAAAATATTTTGAGAAATAATCGTAAAATTTATAAAAACTAATTATTTTTAAATTGTTTGGTAATTTAAGAAGGTCGAGAACTAATTTATATCGGGGGGTCGAAATTAGGTGTCAACACAAACTATTTATTTAAATTAAATATTATAATCACAGTTTATTTTAATTATAATTCGTAGCAAATATTCCCTTTTTTGTTGTCTGATTGGTATACGATAAGCCGTATATAATTAGTCATTTTATACATTTCCGTATAAAATATATAAAATGTGTTTGTGTTTGTATAAAGCGAGAGAAAAGTGTATATATATAAATACATATATTTTCGTCCTACACACATGTAATTATACAAATACAGATCTTATTATACAAATTACAATGCATAAATGAATTTATACAAAACTGAATAATTTGTATGAAATTGAATGTTTGAAGCGAATTATACAAATTAATAGCTTCATAGCAACATAAATTTTATTATAAAGTGCAATTATTCAAACAATAGCTACAACATACAAATATGATCTTTATATTTATTATATATGAAAGTTGTTCATCAAGCAAAATAGTCACATATTCACAAATAATTAAAAATTAAATTACCCCTTTTTAATACTCATAAAATAAAATTTGAACATTGCATCAGTTTTTCATCAAAATTCATCAATATTTTTCACAATCAATTTTAAACGAGTAAAATAATAAATTCATTATATCAATTATAATTTTCTCAATAAATTTACTAAATATAATATAAACAAGTAAATAGAGATCGAGAGAGTACGTCAAAAAAAATATATAACTACGGGGTGGGGGTTTAGTATTTAAAAAATGAAAAGAAATCAGAATACTGATGAGGAATTGAATATTAATTTGTCATTAGAGAGTAGAAAGAATCAAATCAACATCATATCAACATCGATATGCTTCACATATCAAGCTGGAAAAAAAGACACAAATTCTTTGGATTGTGAAATTATCTCATAAGATTAGATAGTAAATCAAGAATACTTCAAATTGAATATCTATTCTTAAAAAAAAATTGATGAGATAGCTGAGATTTCTAAATTCAAAACACGCTTAAAAATACCATTATACATCTAATATTTAAAAGTTTTTGCATGCTCGCTTAATCTTCATATTTTAAACTCCTTTTTAAAAGATTTTAATTTCGCTACAACATTTCACAAGAAATATAAACTTATATATAAAAATTCAATAAGGTTATAACAAATTATAGACATATATACATAACTTTAAAAATATAATGAGTCGATACTTAAAAAAATATTAAATCTCGAATATATCGTTTTGATTCTGATTGGGCAAAAAATCAATTTTCGAGCTCGTGAGTTGGCGCTGATTCAACTGGCGTTTTGATCCCCACATAACATATTGTGCATGTAATTATCAAAGCAAATAATTTTTGTTTAACAATTGGCTTAACTCTTCTTCCTGCATGCATAAATTAAATAAAAGAAAAATAGATTAAAATAGTAAAAAAAAAAGAAAAGAATCAGATCAGGATCATATCCTTCTCATATCAAGCTGGAAAAAAGGAGACAAAAAAAAAAAAATCGATTCGAAGTATCTCATGAGATAATATATATAGTATACCAAATATATCTATATATATATAAAAAAAAATTAATGAAACGGATAAGATCTGTCAGTTCCGTAAAAATTTTGTGTTTGAGCTCTTAAATATAACGTACTTATAGTAGAATGAATGATATATATCTCTCTATCTTATAACTAAAGATTTGGGAATCGAATTTTGAAAGTAGAGAAATTCTTTATAACAAGACACTTTTAATTAATAATTTTTTATTTTCTCATAAAGTCACTTTTATTCTTGATTTTAATTTTTTTTTGATAATTGAAATAATTAATTATTATTACTTTGAGTAATCATCTAAGGAATTGGTTAATTTTATATAACATGAACTTAAATCAATCACGTAAATAATTATTTAATATTAGTAGATATACCAACAATAAAATATCAATCATAAATCATACTTTCTCATTTTTTTTAAGCGGCTTTTATATGTAAGGTGAATCGTATCTCAATTATTAGTGAATCCAATTAATAAAATAAACAATATATTAGTAGTTGGAAATTATGTCAGAGATGAACTAATCAATTTCATAACTTAAGTGCATCAACTACAACATCGATCGACAGACAGATCACTTCTTTTATTGTTATCCAATCAAAAGTAAGTTAAATTTGTCTCAAAGTTGCCTTGTCGACATCATGATATATATATATATGTTATTTTTTTTACGAATAGAAATAAAAATCAGTACACTTATTTACTAAATAAAATAAGAAGATTCTCCGTACATAACATATACAATATATTAAAATCCACTTAAATACTTCTTTCCACTTATGGTCCCCTTGTTAAAGCACATTTTTTTTTCAGTATAAAGCATAACACTATTATTATATTATGTTAAGCGTGATATTTCATCCCAAAGCACAATTCACGATTCTTCAACATAAATAGGTCCTTTAGCAAAAAGACCATGATATAAATCCACTTTAACTCTATAAAAGAAATAGAGAAAGAATAAATTTAAGAAAAAGCTACACATTTAGATATACTTCATTATCATATATATTTTTATTATTTATACTTTTAAAACATTATGTATTTTATCATTAATTAAAAGTTTAGTATGTATCTTACACTTAGGTATACATATTTTGCTATTATATGCACTAAAATAGAGAGGGACAAGCGAGATTTGAGAGGGAGGCGAACAAGACTCGAATGAATCGCAAATATATGTGAATCACACTAGATACATGTATCTGTATGCATCTGGAGGGATTCACATATATCTGGGATACCAGATACATTAGAGAGTGGTGAGGGAGATGGGAGAGACGAGGAAAGCAAGCGAGATTTGATATGTATTCTAAATACATGTGAATCTACTTGGATACAATGTATCTAGAGTACAAATTATAGCTAAATTGATCCCACATATCTTAATTACCGATATTTATACATACTTGGAGACACTAAAATCTAGTAAGATAAATAATATTGCAAACTAAAATATATTTAAAAAATTAGTTTTTGAATTAATGAAATTTATGCAAGTTGTCCTAAATTTAATTCATATATATTCATGTTTACACCCAACTATTAAATACAAGACAAGTTTCTTCATTTTAATATTTGATTAGTAAGTTAAATTTTTGAGGTTAGTGTGAATGGATTGTGAGTAGAAAAATCAAACTCTTGATGTCCACAGCCCACAACATTATATTATATAAGAATAAAAAGTATAGTGTATGTATATATATATCCAACTTGTTGATTCTCTTTTAGTTATCACAATCAACTTGTATAGTCTCAGTGGATATTTTACAATTAGTTGCAACTTACGACCTTTACTTGTTATTAGGCCAATTTGTTTCTCAAATAAAGTATATACAAAAATTTGTCCTATGTTCAAAACGTGTGGGAAACATGATTGCAATTTGCATATGCATGCCAGTGAGTACGTACGTACTTGTTAAAATGGTAAATAAGTAGTTTCACACTTACGTTGTACTTGGTACTACGAAAGATAATATTTTTTTATAAATAATTACACACTTGTTGTATATTTGATTTGAAGAAAGATGTTTTTTTCTAAATAGTGAGATAAAGAAAAAAGCATTTTCATAATATAATAAAAAGTATATAGTGTCGTTTGATATGTGAGATAAAAGTATTTTAATATCGAGACAAAGAGCGAGATAAAATAGTATTTAAATTAGTTAATTATCTCGAGATTATTATTTCTATCAATATCTGTGTCACGATCCCAAAAATCACCAGTCGTGATGGCACCTATGTTCCCAACCAATAGGTAAGCCAACCAACACATTTTAACAGACATAACTAACTAATGAGTGAAAAGACAACAATTAGTCAACTCTCCAACACTGAGTTCCTTATAATTAAGAATGCGGAAAATTGAAAAAAAAATACTACCCAAGAATTGATGTCATAAGTACAAGAGCTTCTATAATACGATGCAAATCTGAAACTAGAATGACAAATCTAACATAAGGAATATCTTGTCTGAAAACTGAATAACAGAATAAATAAAAGATAGAGGGAGGTGTGGGCCACAGAACAACCAAGCAGCTCACCACGACTACAATGCACTTTAAATTCGGACTCAAACTGCTCCTCGAGATGTGCTCCTACTCGAAATCGAATCTGCACCACAAAGAATGCAATAAATATAGAATGAGTATGAAATCACGTGTACTCAGTATGTCTCATTGACCGGTAACGAATAAATAATAACGAAAATTTATATAAGAAAAATAAATTCACAGGCAAGTAGACATGTCATGACTCATGTCCTGTCACATTAAAGAAAAAGATAAAACGTACGTAGCACTAATTCAAATGTGCAAGTGTATCTTTGTGCATGTACCTCACTAGTCGACACATCCCACGGCATCTTGTTTCGTTTTTTTAAAAAACTTGAGAAGCTACATATTTTCCACTCTGCTTTCTACTAAAGTGAAATTAAATTCTACCCCCTTTTACGTCCACTCTTATAAACGTAGCGAACGTGGTCTCTAATATTTCCAATAATAAAAACAATGCTATTATATTTACTAATTTTTTTCTATAGTTTGAATTTCGAAATAATTACATATTGTTTATTAATAATCTCAAATCAGAAATATTTAAATACATATATTACTCGACGATCGAGGGAGAAGGATGAACGAGAAAGTCAATGCAACTCACTTGAATATAATACAATGTATTTAGAATGAATAATATCGAATTTGACTTCAATTATCCACGATATATTTATCTGAAAACGCAAAATACATGTAATCTGAAGATCGAAATCAATCTACGTATAAAATAATTCCAGTATAAACTAAAATAATCTTGTTAAACTTTGAGATAATTAGTTAGCTAGCATGTCAATGACAATTTTGAACCTTACAAATGTATCACTTCTCATTTCTCAAGGGAACATGTTTGGCCATGAGATATTTTATTCCTTTGTATAAATTGACAAGAAGAGATCGAAGACAATGCAACTAGACATGTTCAGCATATGGATAAGAGTTAAAATGAACTAATTATTCTTTAGACAACTACATTATTTTTTGTCTATCAAAGTGCCAATCTGTCTTAAAAAAAGTATTATTATATACTAAATGTTTGTTCATGTACCAGTTAGACTTGCCGACGTCGTTTTGTCATATGTAACTTGCCCCATGTTGCCGACATGGGCGACATTAATTACGACTTCTATCTATCTATCTATTTACTCTATATAAATATCAAATCAATTTATTAAAAATCGTATTTTTTTCACTTTTATTAGTTATTTTTATCTAATTTAACAATATGTACATTGTACTTATCTGAAAATGTCAATATATAACACCTTAGATTAAAAATAGTTTTTTTTGTGAAACTCAAGTCTTAACCAATAAATAAAAGGAAAATTATATATAACAACAAATTAATAACCTAAAATAAATGGAGTAGTTAGGATTTGATTTAGTTGTGCTCCATAACAAACGTTAGCTAAAGTTTGTCAGGCGTCTCTCTCCCAAAAATCTCGCTCGCCTCTCTCGCTTTATACACAGAAGTGTATAAATTTTGTTTCTGTTTTGTATAAAGCGAGAGAAAATTGTATATACACATGCAAAAATATATATCTTCGTGCTATACACTTAATTATACAATTTACAAACATTTTACTTCAAATATTGCAGAGAAAAAGACCAACGAATTATATAATTGCGAATTATACAATTGCAGCGAAATACAATTTTCTCAAGCTTTATACAACAGAAGTGTATATATTGTGTTTTTGTTTTTGTATAAAGCAAGAGAAAAACATATATCTTCTTGCCATACACTTATAATTATGCAATATACATACATTTTAATTCGATTCAACTGTATGCAAAACAAATTTTATAAAAATAATGCAGCGAAATAGGCAGCGAATTATACAATTGTGCATTATACAATCGCAGTGAAATAGGATAGCAAATTATATAATTACAGCGAAATAGGCCAGCGAATTATACAATTTAGGCCAACGAATTATTCAATTGTATATGTATAGCGAATTATACAGTTTTATGTTCGGTATGGAGCATAATTATGCAAAGTTTGCTATAACATACAAATATAAATTTTTTATTTGCTATATGTGAAAGTTGCCTATGAATAAAACAAGGAAAATGCGTACTAATTTAATTTAGGAGGAATAAATCAGAATTAATTACTTAATTTTTTTAATCGTTGAAAACAATTTATATGAATATTAAATTGTATCTTAGCTAGACAGGTGTCACATAATTATAGTATATAATAATAATATTTATCAAATAATTTGTAGCACACAACACACACGCACTTTATAAGTAATGCTATATTAATTGGAATCCACTAATTTTTAATCAATAATTACTTCCCATTACACAGTGCAAGTGCGTTACTACAAAGGACTACCAAATTATGTTCCTCTAAACCAAAATTACAAATTAAAGAATAATTCTCCATAGATGATTAAGAAATATTAAAATGATAAAAACAGCTAATTATCCATTATTAGCTACTCATTTCTATAATTAGATTTTAACAATAATTGATTCAAATAGAGCAAGTGTTATAATAGACAATATACGGCGTACGATAAATGACAGTTGATAATTTTTGTGTCGTATCTCCTTTCATATTTATACAACTCACGAATCCCAAGAAAATAACATATTTTTATGTTTTATAACAATATAATTTTAAAATACACATCGTACTATTAATGAATAATTTATGACCACTATAAATATATTTTTTTAAATTTTACGTACGTCAAATTAAATTATATAACATAAACTAAAACGAGAGCTAAAGCAAATAAATATTTTTTAGCGCACGCGTAACTCGTGTACCCCCTTCACGTCGCTGTCCTTTATGGTCATCCTCTAGCTGTAATGTAATGTCCTTTTCTAAAACTTAAAATAAGTAATCTGACTAATATATTTCTCCGTCTCTAATTATTTATTTATTATTTTTTAATTATCTCTAATTATTTGTTTATTTCGAGAAATTAAAAAAATATTTTTTATCTATTATACCTTCAATTAATTATTTTTAAAAAAGTAAAATTTTTTTAAAATTTAAAATTTTTAATTTCAACTATTTTATAATTAATAAATATAATTAATATAGATAAAATGATGAACTCTAAAAAAAAAAAGGGTTGTGTCACTAGCGAAAAAAAAAAAAAATTTGATTACGTAGATTTCTGGTTTATCTAGAAAAGTAGGATTGAAAATTCCATAAATATCATCCTCCTCTTCATTATAAATAGCAACGCCCTCTATTCACTTCTACTCATTCACTCACTTTTACATAAGTCATCATATATAGAAATGGCTACTATTCTTTTTTTCTTGATTTTGGCTATTGTTTTATCAATTCTCCTTTTTCTTTCTAGACTTAAACCTTATTGTGAGTGTGAGATTTGCAAAAGCTATTTGAACTCTACATGGTCTTTAGAGTTCAAAAATCTTTGCGATTGGTACTCTTATCTACTCAAAAAATCACCCACTGGTACAATACATGTACACGTTCTTGGAAATGTCATTACATCAAATCCAAACAACGTTGAATACATGCTTAAAACAAATTTCGATAATTTTCCTAAAGGAAAACAGTTTTCTACTATCCTCGGCGATTTATTAGGCCGAGGAATTTTCGCCGTAGACGGCGAAATGTGGAAGTTTCAACGGAAGATGGCAAGTTTAGAACTCGGACGCGTATCGATACGCTCGTACGCTTTCGATATCGTCAGTGACGAAATTAGAAACCGGTTGATTCCGCTTTTGGAAAGTAATATCCATACTGTTTTGGACTTACAAGATGTTTTACGACGTTTTTCGTTCGATAGCATCTGTAAATTTTCATTTGGTATGGATCCTGGTTGTTTGAAATTATCATTACCAGATTCAGATCTTCAAGAGTCATTTGATTTAGCTTCGAAATTGTCTGCTGAAAGAGCTATGACGGTTTCACCTTTAGTGTGGAAAATTAAAAGGAGTTTGAATATTGGATCAGAAAAGAAGCTAAAAGAAGCGATCGAAAAAGTTGATGTACTTGCTGAGGAGGTAATAATTCAGAAAAGAAAAAACGATTTTTCTTCCCAAAATGACGTTTTGTCTAGGTTCATGAGGAATATTGATGATGATAAACTCCTTAGGGACATTATCGTCAGTTTTCTATTGGCGGGTAGAGACACTGTTGCGTCCGGACTGACTACTTTTTTTTGGCTACTAGCTCAACATCCACATGTTATTAATGAAATTCGAGCTGAGTCGAATCGAGTAATGGGAAAAACAGTAAATGGAACTCTAGCTACTTTCGAAGGAATTCGGGAAATGCATTTTTTGACTGCAGCTATACATGAGAGTATTAGGCTATTTCCGCCTGTTCAATTTGATTCCAAGTTTTGTCAAGAAGACGATACGCTCCCTGATGGTACGTTCGTGGCTAAAGGGACGAGGGTGACGTATCATCCATATGCAATGGGGAGGATGGAGGGTATTTGGGGTAAAGATTGTTTAGAATTCAAGCCAGAAAGATGGTTGGAAGACGGGGTTTTTAAGGCACAGTGTCCTTTTAAATATCCCGTTTTTCAAGGTGGTGTTAGGGTTTGTTTGGGTAAAGATTTATCTATTGTGGAAATGAAGAGTGTTGCTTTGGCTTTGATTAGGCAATTCGACTTTCAAGTTCATTTGGCTAAAGACCAGGCACCTAAGTTCATGCCGGGATTGACAGCCACCGTGAGAGGCGGACTTCCCATCATGGTTCAAAAAAGACGAGAACAATAGACACTGACACGAATTCAAGATTTAGAGTCAGTATTGTACAACTTTTGTAATTAATTATTAGTTTATACTTCTATCTTTTAGCTAGCGTTTTAGGCTTAGAGCAAGCTGAACTATGTGTATATAGACGACTAACGTCAAAAAAGCTTATGACTTATGATGATATAATAACAAAATTGTTCAAAAAAATATTGGCTATATTTCACACTTATTTTATCTTGATATATGCCAAATGCAAACTTAGATCTTAATAGAATCATTAAATTATGAGTTCAACATAATCTAGCTAGTAACTTTGCTCTAATCTAATACATATGTTTGAGAGTTCGTTGTTCATGTAGTCGATAAAGTTCAACGATGAATTTACGAAAAACGATTAAAACTCATTCCAAATGCTAACACTAACTCTAACTTGGCGGAGAGACCATGAGTTCACAAACACCATAAATTGCCTTGAAAACCTACGAGTATTATCTTGTTAATAATGAAGACTCTGCTTGTTTGATTTTTCTTTAAACAAGATTTGTGATCCACTTTAAGTGGCTTTCAATTAGCTAATTGACCTTATTAGTAGTCACATGAATAACATCAATAAGAATAAAACGTTTAATTAACTAGAAGATTGAAATAATTAATTGTGTCGGTTATATTCTAAAAGTAGAAGTCAATGTTCGAGTTGTCGTGATATATTGGCCATGTTAATAAAATAATTTTTAATATATAATTTAACAGGGGAATAATTTGGTCAATTAAGAATATTGAATTTCCATGCATCTTCTTCCATCAGAATCTGGAATGGTCGCAGCTAGGGTGACAAAATGGTTAAAATTTACGATTATTTTTATATTTGGAATGAGTTAGATATTCAATCAATTTTAAATTGAATCAAATATAAATTAATTCATTTAAAAAAATAGATATCTATCATATTTGTTAAACAAAGTTATCTTGACCATGTCAATTTTTATGGAAGATTTATCAGACTTTTTTGAAAATCAGCAATCTCACTTTTATCTTTTTTTGATTTGTCAAAATAAATAAGTAATTAGGGACAATACAAAAGGAAATGAGTCAAATATTTTAGGCATAATATATAAATATGACCCTTAACTTGGATTCAACGGATAACTATACCCTCAAACTTTGAGTGTACAAGTAGACACTTAAACTTGTATAAAATTGAATAAGTAGACACATGTGACTATATGACATAAGACACATAAGATGTCATGTATGTTATAAAATTGTCATGTAGGACGATTATGTTCATTTGTTCAATTTTATACAAATTCAAATATCTAATTACAC